ACCTGCCCCCCCCAGCCCCAGCACCGGTCCTGCTGCCTGCGGAGACTTGGGGGGAAGCACTTTTATTTTCATAGCTGAATTCCTGCTTCTGACAAGAGCCGCGTGCGGTGGGAGGGGAGAGAGGGTTCTGCTTTTTTGTGCAATAAAAGCTTCGCGCAGGGTGTAGCCTGGAGGGGCCCAAAGAGAGAAGGACCCAGCCGGCGTGGGTTTAACGATGCTGTCGGCCTTGGCAACGCGCTTGAGCGCTAAGCAGCTGAGAAATGTAGCGACTGTAACTCCCACTCACCCGCCTCGCGGCGTTGGACTGGGATTAAGGCTAGTCAAGCTCCTGGCTCTAGCTTACATGACAGTGCTGCTTGTTTGGGCCAATGCGTCCCCCCCCCCAGCCGAGAATCAATGAAAGTCAGGGAGATTTCCTCCGCGCCGATGAAGAAACGGGGGTGTATCCAACACAGTTTGTTGCGGCGGGGACAGAGCTCAGTCCTCCTGCTCTGCCTGAGGTTCTCGGCCGTGCTCGGTTGCTGGAAGACTGGGGCGGAGAGGGGGGTTCAGGGTTTGGATTGGGTTTTGGATCGTTCCTGCCTAGCTCTCAGGTTGGAAGAGTCGGACGATCCATGCAGCTGTTCACTGGCTGGCCATGTTTATCCCTGATGCCAGTTTCTCTCGGGAGCTGGCCGTTTAAAGGGCCAGAGACGAGCCACACGGAACATCTCTGTAATTCCAGCTCCCGGTGAGGGATGCAGGGCGATCGCTGCAGGCTCGGGGTTTGGTACAAAGGGAATTGCCCTCCTGCTTTCTCCCTCTAGGGAAAGGGACCCCGAGGGAAGCTGCTCAACCCCATGGCCAGGTGTTTTAACCCAGAATAGTAGCTGAGGACTCTGCTAGGCTCCTCGATGATCTGCGAGCCCGGAGCACCAGGCTGGGCCGTGATGGTGCAGCTCTAGTTTGTTTGTTTTTATACTTCACGTGAGCCTCTTTGCATGTGCTGTGTGTTCCCAGAGGCTGGATACAATAAAGTCATTGACAAAGAGCTAACCCCGTGCAGACTGAATCTCCAGCAGGCCAGCGTGCGTTTGAAAAACCAAGCGCGGAGCTGAGTCTCTGGCATGAGGCTCCTGGGGTCCCGCTCCCACACTAGCACTAGGGGACACAGGCCCTGCCCCCCGGGAAGTGCTCCGCCCACAAGTGTCGTTGGGCAGACCGCATGGGCCATTTTGAGCTAGTGCGTTCTGTGGAGCCCTCGCTCTGCCCCCAAACTCATCACCCATCCAACCCCACAGCCTCCTCGGCCAGCCCAAGCCTTCACTCTCCCTGTGCCCCCTTCCCCTGTCCCTGACATGCCCCCCCCCCCGCACTCTGAATGCCTCATTTCTGGCCCTACCCTGGAGCCCCACACCCCCAGCCAGAGCCCTCCCCTCTCCAGCCCCACATCCCCCCATGTTGGGAGCATTCAGGGCCCACCCCACAATTTCCATATCAAGATGTGGTCCTCAGGCCAAAAAGTTTGCCCAGCCCTGGATTAGGGGCCGGAAGAGCTTCCCTCTGAGGCGAGGGTAGCGCCCAGAGCTGTTTCGCTGGGGGAAGGGAGGGCAGAGGGAAGTGCTGTGGGCCCCTTCGCATAACATGGGAACCAGGGGGCTTAAACACAAGGCAGCAGTTCTTCACACAGTGCACTCGGCCCACGGGCGTTGGGCTTCGGAGGCTGTGAAAGCCAAACTGTGTTAAAAAGGACGGGATGAGTTCATGGCGGCTAGGTCCAGCAATGGCTGAGAGCCCAAAGGGTCAGGAACGAGCACACAGACACCCCGGACTGCATCACTTGGTAATTACCCACGTCCGGTCATTCCTCCGAGGCGCCAGGCACGGCCGGGCTCTGGGCTGCAGAGCCCCCTGCTCTGGCTCAGCAGAGCCAGGCCCCTTCTTACGTTCTTGCAACCGGCTTTTCCGAGAGCGTCTCGGCCGGGACGCGGGACTTGGCAGCACAGTGGCGCGGAGTGATCCTCGCGGCGGGACACGTGTTGGGGGCTGTGGTTAGACCCTTCAGGGATGGGACCATGGGCGGCCCTGGAAGCACCTGTCACGCTCGGCTCGGCAGGACCGGTGTGACGGTCCGTCCCAGCCCTGAGGGGCAGACGCCAGCCTACGACCCAGGAAGCCGTGATGGCACAGACCAGCCCCTGCTTGCCACAGACTCCAGCTTCTGAAACTGGTTTATCCCCTGACCCCAGTCTCCTGGTGACCTGGTCCTGCCAGTGTCTTCACATGGGCCCCTCTCGGCCGCTGACATCCCAGTTCCTGATTTGCCCCAATTCCTGCTCCACCCCCTAGGTGTGACAGCCACGCCAGACATTCTGATCCCAAGCAGCCTTAGGTACCAGCTCCCAGAGAGCTCTAGAACATCTGTGTCTTGTGCCCCAAATCCTGGGCTTCGAAGCATCTTTTTCTGCGGCTCACAGACAAGCAAAATAGCGTCCAGGTCGGAGCGGCAGGCGGCCACAGGCCAGGGCGAGGCAGCAGCTGGATTAGGCCACGTGCCAGTGGATTCCTCGAGCATTTCTTCACATGCTGAAGGCGTTTTCCTGCAGGGCGTGCCGCTCGCGCGTCTGTTGTGCGGGGCTGAGACTGCGGCGGGGGGGTAAGACAACTGGTGCCTGCAGATAGTGGGGGGGAGGGCAGAACAAGGGCAGCTGGCTTTAGCGGTGTTTATGCCCCGTCCATCTGAGCATGCTCAGTGCAAACAAACAGCAAATCGAGGTATTGCCACATGCCCCTCCCCATATGTCTCCCGTGACCACAGACTCTCTTCTTTTTTGTTAATATGTTTAATGGGCTCCTCTGTGTGGCTGAGAAGAGGCGGGTGTCGCCTCAGACCCGGTGTCTTCCCTGTGGTGCTCAGCCAAATCTCAGCCGGCGTTAGCGGCTTCTGGTTTGCGGAGGGCTGGTACCTCAGCCAGACCCTCTCGGGCTCTGCCTCAGGCCTCGTGTCGGGCTGGTACCTCAGCCAGCCCCTCTCGGGCTCTGCCTCAGGCCTCGTGTCGGGCTGGTACCTCAGCCAGCCCCTCTCGGGCTCTGCCTCAGGCCTCGTGTCGGGCTGGTACCTCAGCCAGCCCCTCTCGGGCTCTGCCTCAGGCCTCGTGTCGGGCTGGTACCTCAGCCAGCCCCTCTCGGGCTCTGCCTCAGGCCTCGTGTCGGGCTGGTACCTCAGCCAGCCCCTCTCGGGCTCTGCCTCAGGCCTCGTGTCGGGCTGGTACCTCAGCCAGCCCCTCTCGGGCTCTGCCTCAGGCCTCGTGTCGGGCTGGTACCTCAGCCAGCCCCTCTCGGGCTCTGCCTCAGGCCTCGTGTCGGGCTGGTACCTCAGCCAGCCCCTCTCGGGCTCTGCCTCAGGCCTCGTGTCGGGCTGGTACCTCAGCCAGCCCCTCTCGGGCTCTGCCTCAGGCCTCGTGTCGGGCTGGTACCTCAGCCAGCCCCTCTCGGGCTCTGCCTCAGGCCTCGTGTCGGGCTGGTACCTCAGCCAGCCCCTCTCGGGCTCTGCCTCAGGCCTCGTGTCGGGCTGGTACCTCAGCCAGCCCCTCTCGGGCTCTGCCTCAGGCCTCGTGTCGGGCTGGTACCTCAGCCAGCCCCTCTCGGGCTCTGCCTCAGGCCTCGTGTCGGGCTGGTACCTCAGCCAGCCCCTCTCGGGCTCTGCCTCAGGCCTCGTGTCGGGCTGGTACCTCAGCCAGCCCCTCTCGGGCTCTGCCTCAGGCCTCGTGTCGGGCTGGTACCTCAGCCAGCCCCTCTCGGGCTCTGCCTCAGGCCTCGTGTCGGGCTGGTACCTCAGCCAGCCCCTCTCGGGCTCTGCCTCAGGCCTCGTGTCGGGATTCTGGCGTAGGAAGCCCTGAGCATTAGCAAAGCTCCCAGGATTTTTCAACCTTCCTCTGCAACCTGGCCCCATCCAGGTTTCAGGGTCACCCCTTACCGCGTGCAGCTTTGCCTTGGCCAGGCCTTGGTGCGGGTGGGCGCCAAAGGCTCCTCTGGGCAGAACCGCCCGTCTCCCCACCGCCCCGACCGAATTCCAAAAGAGAACGATTTTGCACTGGCTGACGTTGGGGGTGCGGTTAGCTCCGCACCGCGGCTCTGGGGGCTCTGCCTGTGGCTGGGTGCTCCTGTCCGAATGAGTGGCTCGTTCCAGCGCTCCTGGCGCGATAAACAACGTGACTTATCGGGACCACTGCGCTGCTTCCCTTCTGCGGGCGATGGCCCGGCAGCCTGACGCTTTCCTTCCATCGCCAGCCCTCTGGACCCCGCGACTGCAGCAGGCCTGGGCCACCGTCTGGCTTGCCAGCGCTGGCTTTGAAACACTCGCTCAGCTCACTTTCTCGGCCTCCCGGTTCTCCGTTCGGCCTGGCTGGTTCCCATGTGATCACGGGAGACGGAGCCTCCCCCAACCTGACTCTGCAGAAGGGGACCCGAGGCCTGGAGAGTGACCCCTCCCTTCCCTCTTGCGTTGACCTGCCCCTGGAATGCCCCACACGGAATGGGGAGGTGCCAGGTTCACCCCATTAACTCCCCGCTCTGGAACCCGCTGCCTTCCTCCTAGAGCCTCACCCGGTTGACCAGGCCGGTGGGAGATGGTGGAGACCCTGACAAAGGGCCTTCGGGAAGATCGAGGCCGAGCCGTTGAGACGCAAGCCCTCTCCTGGCCATGGGATTCAGGCTTCCGCTCCCCCCCAGGGTGCCTGTTCCCCACCTCCCGCGGGGCTGGGCCAGGATGGGAACCTGGCTCAGGGTCCTGTTCCCTTGCCCTCGCTGGGCTAGCAGGGGTGACTGGCGAGGGTGGGGAGAGGCCCGCACCCGTTCCTGGGGGCAGAAGTGGATTGCTCACCCAGAGGCAGGTCTCAGGCCGTGTCTCCAGCATGGCGTGGTCAGCACAAGGCACGGACGCGCGCCTGTCGCTTGTGCCTCTGGCTGCTTGGGTCGGTGCCCTGTGGATTTGCCC